ACATATACTTCTAGAGTGTTTACATCTCATTACTATTAGCTGGGTTATTTTCTAGGACTTTAAAACGCCAAAGTTTTGATCCTACACCTTATTGTTCCGAAATTATATAAAGGGATTGTAAACCATTTTCTATTTCATGAATTGCGTATTTATAAAGCAGAAACAAGGGGAAAAAATACAGTTTATTTCTATTATTAGAATGATAAACTTACCCGATCTGAGAGAAGTATTTCCACATTAGATTTGTGTAGCTGGGACTTAGTTGATACTCGTTGGACAGACTCTCTCACATAGGTCAAACATCTAAACACGTTTTTTGTAAATATTAATTAACAAGCATTTTTAAAGTAAAGTAAATGTTGTAGAAATTAGTAAAGAAATCGAAGGCTTTTAAAGCTTGATATAAGAAAGTGTATAAAAATCCAAAGAAATAGAAAAAAACAAACAAATTAATCATAAGAGTGAAGAAAAAAATTGTCATATTTTTTTACTTGAAATAAAAATTTGACCTTGAACGACTAGGATTCAATAATTAAACAATATAACAAGAAAATGAGGAAAATGGAGAGTAAAATAGCTAAACTAAAAACTTGTTTAATGTGATTGAAAACAACCACATCCCCCCATCCTTCTTCCTCCATATATAAATACAAATTACTCATAAAATTCTGCGAATATATGCCCAGGAAGTCTAGACTTGGGTTTTAATTAAAAAATTTACATTGCGTATATTTTTACGCAATCAGTCGGACCTCGACCGTTCGGTAAGACAGAGTACAGTATATACAAATGACGCTGTCTTCAAATTACACGCTCCGAAGGATTTTGTTTTTAAATTGCAAACATTTGAAATTTCCTATTTTGTCCGGCAAAATATCTAGCTGAATTATTCCGGAAATTAATCGTTAATGTTTAATGAATTGGATTTAAATTTTCAATCTGTTGCATGTTTATTGGTGAATAGTTCGGCTAATTTGTAAAACCTTGGTTATTACAGGGGCAAAATCAAGGAGCTTAAGAGGATGGGGTGGAGGGGGGAGGAACATGGCGGAGGAGAGGCTAAAAAAAAGTCTGGAAAGAAGAGAAGTCTGGAATAATAGAAGGATGGAAAGAAGAGAAGGATGGAAAGAAGAGAAGGATGGAAAGAAGAGAAGGATGGATTGGGATGAACTAGGATGAACTAGGATGAACTATAGGATGGATTAGGATGGAAAGAAGAGAAGGATGGAAAGAATAGAAGGATGGAAAGAAGAGAAGGATGGAAAGAAGAGAAGGACAGAAAAAAAGAGAAGTTTGGAATCTCGATGATAAATACCGACTATGCTCTGAAGATAAAAAGGATGGATAATAAATAGAGCGCGGAGATTTAAATTTCATGGATATTTTAGTCGTAAACACCCCGCCTTACTCGGTCATTATTTAAACTTTTTACTATGAATGCAAACTTTTTATCAGGATTATACAACAGAAAGGCCTGGATATACTGACCTACTCCTTTGTGCCTCGCGACTAGCTCGAGCCTCCATTTTCGACACCTTCTTGTTGTCGAAAACGGCCAATTTGGTCGTCAGCCTGTTGTTATTCCTGGTCGACACCGGAGTCGGAGACGGAGACCTGTCCGGGGTCTCCGGGTGCAAACTCGGAGGAGAGAGTCGAACCCGAACCACTGGTTCTGAAAAAATGATAAAATTATAAGAAAAAAATTATGAGAATTTTGTAGATTTTTTAAATTCGTCTTTAATCAACGCGGCATTAAATCAAGGTAAAAATTACCAATGTGAATGTTTATTGGGACACACGAAGTAAAAATTAAAAAGAATTGTGGTTCTAAACAATTATTCTAGAAACTCTCAGAAAATTATGAAAAAATTAAATTAATTTGTGAATTCTAGGAGGGAAGCAGAATACAATTGTTGGAAAACTACAGTTGCATTGTTTTCAAGAATATGCCTATATGCATGGATAAACAAACTTCCTACCATACATATCTATATTCATATATATATATACATATTAATTATATACATTTAAATACATACTACCAGATGTGTAGCAGATTACATCATTATAAAGAGATTATACATCTATTCCGAATACAGCGAATTACTAATAAAATTAGTATTGATTTTTTGAAAACAAATTCCCGAACTTTTTGTATTTGTTATTTTTACACTTCCTTCTCTTAATTATTTGGTTTAGGAATGTCTTATTCGTTATTCTTATAATATCATCTAAAGTGGAAAGATATTCATCAATGAAATCATGGTTTAGTTTTAATTGTGTTCAATTTTAACCTATTAGGTTTAGCTCACACTAAACTTGTACGACTTTGTGACATCGTAGCTTCTTTAATTTTAATAGAATGTGCAAATATCATATTTATTCGGTTATATAATAGAAATTCAAAACATTTTGATCTTCTCAATAACTCTTCAATAAGAAGAGTTTTGATTGAAAACATTTAAGATTTCAATGTTATATGCACTTTACGTTAGTTTGAAGTGATGCACTTTACGTTAGTTTGAAGTGATGCACTTTACGTTAGTTTGAAGTGATGCAATTTACGTTAGTTTGAAGTGAGTTAGAATAATCCGAGTTAAAGTGATTTCCAAAGTTTTGAGTTGAAATCGGTTGATATTGAAGTGTGGGTGCCGGGTCAGTTTACTAGTTTAACCCTATACAGGGGGGGTCTTAATCTGTGTATAGCCTGGAGGGGGGGGGGGTTCCACGCCTTCCCCCTAGAAAAACGCCCCCCTCCCCTAGCCTGTTTAGGGTTAAAATCAACTTTAAGTATTGTCGGAGCTCTGAAACCCTGGAACACTGATTGGGATAAGAATCAAGAGAGAACTGAACCCACGTTATTCAACCTAACCTTAGAATTCAATATTGTTTCACATTAAACCAGAGTTTATTTAGTTCCGGTTAAAAACCTATTATGTCTAGAGTGATATCTCAGTTTCTAGCGTGAAATTAGTTTAAAAATTAAACTCCGTATAGGAAACCTAATAAGTTATTTTCAATACATTATACAAAAAAGGAGAGGAGTTATGAGATCCTAAAGTTACATGTTGTAAAATTAACTTTAGTTTAATGTGAGGTTATTGTCTAACCAGCCTGTGTATTATATAAACCTCAGTATAAGTCTGGTATAACCACCAATAAACCAATAAATAAAATAAAATTACGTTTTTTAATTTCATTTCTACGTGACTCTACATTTTGTTTATATAGAGGAACTAAATACACGATGTCTGGAGGGAACAAATATGGCGTATTTAAAGTATTTGCTAACGCTTTAATAAAGCAATTGAACAATCGTCTCAAATTCTAATTTTACCATCCCTGTATCTTTGCAACAGGATAGTGTAAACTTTTGATATTTCATAGTTTTAAATATCAAAGGTTGCAAAGATATAAGAGATGGGATATTTGAGTTTTAAGGAGAGAAATCATTATTACTTTAAAAGTGTTTTATTATAATAGTTTACGTACTTTTTCTGCAGTAGAAATGCGCAAGTCTCTTTTGTAGAGAAATCGCAATGGAAAATAATCATTTTTGTATAGTTCATACTTTTAAAGGTATCGTTGTGAATCAGGTATTGCCATATTTGAATACAGGGTTGCTTAAAGTACACTTACAGTCCAGAAATATTAAACATGTCTAGTCCCTTCTTACAGTCCAGATATATTAAACATGTCTAGTCCCTTCTTACAGTCCAGAAATATTAAAAATGTCTAGTCCCTTCTTATTGAAAACACTTTAAATGCTTTATCATTTGACCTTGTGCAATTACACAAAGCAAAATTCTGGTGAATTCTTCCAACATATTTATGTATTCATTAGAGCGATACATGATCAAACTCCGGAAACATTTCCATATGCATTCTTCAACTATACTTAGTGGACAATATATATATAGATATCAAACAGGATTATTTATCTTATATCTTAACATATTTCAGAGTTACGGATAATATTTAGATTTAGCTCATTTATTTTAACAGTTCTTAAAAATAGTTTTAAAAAATAAGAACATTCATACTTAAAATTAACTCATTTTTTAAATATTAATTTTAAAGACGTTTAAACGTTTTTCCAAAAATAATGGATGAATTAAACAACTACTAAAAAGTGTTAATAATGGTGAAAATATTAAAAATTTAAACAATATAATGTTGCACTTTCACCACCAAAAAATCAAGGTTTCTCCTGTTAATAAAACCACCGTGATACCAAACCCTTAATCTCAGAACCGTGAGCAGTCCCTTTAAACAGTTACCACAGAAATTACGCAACATGCTGCGTAATGCGTATTCACTGAGCCTAAACTTTGACTGAGTCAATTTATGCCTGCATGTTGATATTGAAACCATGATGATATTAATACAGTTCAATCAACCTGTGTCTCTCTCTCCGTCCCTCCACAACCATAGAAGGAGGGTTCAATTATACCTGGAGCACAAACCAATAATATCCGTAGTACAAACCAATAAGATGATAAACCCAAACCCAAGTCATGGAGAACGTAATTGGAAAACTGTGCTCAGAGGAAATAGTAAAGATCCTGTTTCCTGTTGACGTGTGCTTGGATACTAATTTAAACCAATCAGAGAACTATAGATTTGCAAAATTTTCTTTACTCCGTGACGCCAATTTGCTTCGTAAATATTTAAATTTTTAAAATCCGTCTACCGAACTTTTTATCCGTCTACGTTTGTATATGCTTGGCTTGCTTGGTAGATGCTTTGTTTGACTCCAATAAACGTTAAAACGGCTGAACCGATTGGGCTCAGAAAAGAAAAATCTGCCAAATTCTTCGGTTTTAAAATTTCAGAAGAAAAATGGTTTCAGTCTCCATAATTATCTATTCCCTGATATCTTAGTACATATCTCTGCATGAAAAAGTGTAAAGGTGCAGAAAATAAAGATGTTTAGTATGTAGTAGGACTATACATAGTAGTATACAACTTCAAGGAAAGGTCAATGTTAACGATAATAGCACAAGTTCAACTAGGAATTTGTTTTTTTTCATTACATCGGACTTAAATCAGATTTTAGAGGCTGTGAAGTTCTAAAATTCTAATCTATCTGTGGGTTCAGTAGGAATAATAAAAGCATTAAAAAATATCTAAAAATTTCTCCTGGTTATAATGATAATATCCGTAACTGTAGGTTTAGATAAGTATATTTCTGTATCTCATCATCTGATGGATATTCATATATGTGTATCTCCAATCTTCATCCATGCAGGTTCAGATGAAGTTATCTCGAGCATTGGAAGTTTTAAATGGAGTGGTATTGAAAGAGAAGGATGGATATGGCATTAGAAATATAAATTATATCGATCTGGCAATTTTTCAAACTGATACCATTGAAAAATACCTAGGTTGGGTATGCACCGTTTGATAGATAGATAGCTGCCTGATCTGATAAGGGAAAATTACTATATTGACGGTGGTCCAATCCTAACTGTTCTTTTAAACCTCAATATTAGTTCTACTGCCATAATTTACTTTAAACCTAGACCTATTCTTGGTACTCTCCATACCACAGACAATTCTTGGCTATTCAACCGGCATACTGGATACAGAGGATACAGAATACAGAGGATACAGAGGATACAGAGGATGTAGAGGATGCAGAGAATACAGGTGATACAGAGGATACAGAAGATACAGTGGATGTAGAGGATGCAGAGGATACAGGGGATACCGAGGATACAGAGGATACAGAGAATACAGAGGATACAGAGGATACAGAGGATACAGAGGATACAGAGGATACAGAGGATACAGAGGATACAGCGGATACAGAGGATACAGAGGATACAGAGGATACAGAGGATACAGAGGATACAGAGGATACAGAGGATACAGAGGATACAGAGGATACAAAGGATACAGAGGATACAGAGGATACAAAGGATGTAGAGGATGCAGAGAATACAGAGGATACAGAGGATACAGAAGATACAGAGGATGTAGAGGATGCAGAGGATACAGGGGATACCGAGGATACAGAGGATAGAGAGGATAGACAGGATACAGAGGATACAGAGGATACAGAGGATACAGAGGATAAAAAGGATACAGATGATACAGAGGATACAGAGGATACAGAGGATGTAGAGGATGCAGAGAATACAGAGGATACAGAGGATACAGAGGATAAAAAGGATACAGATGATACAGAAAATACACAGAGGATACAGAGGATAGAGAGGATACAGAGGATATAGAGGATAAAAAGGATACAGATGATACAGAAAATACAGAGGATACAGAGGATTTTCCACATATAATTCCTTTGACAATATTCCTTTAAAAGACTATTAAAGAGTTTTATTATTTAGTTTTTGCTGCTAGATAAGATTATTACAAAACAATGGTTTGAAGGATAAAATAGTTTTCTTAGAACAGAATCAGCTCCGGAGTTATTAAGTTCTCCTCAGGGTCTACATTTGAGCACAAGAACCTCATCTTCTCATGGGTTGATATTCATCCTTCATATTAATCTTTCTACCAGGGGTTAATATTAATCCTAAATTCGGAACCTTGGATATTCAAGTGATGGGATAACCCCACAAGCAATTCTTTTGCATAAAACGGACATTAGATATTCTATGATGAGAAGATTGTTAGTGAAATTTATTGTGAATTTGACATAATACC